AGGGTTTTTTTGTTGCTGATTTATAAACCTCTTTATCAACTCCTAATTCTGATGATATGCGATTTGCTTCCCTTGATGATGGAAATTCATACATACAGTAGTGAGAACAATTTAATCGAATATCCTTTGGAGTTTTGTAAAATGATTGACTGAGATATATTACAGAGCAATTCTTATGTCTTCCTTGGATGAAATAATCAATAAGTTGTCTCTGGTTTTTATCACAAACGTAATCATCAAATATCACAAGTTTTTGATTGTCTTCGTAATCCAAATCTGACACTGGAATTATTTCATCATTACTTACATGAAGTATTTCATACCCCATTTCACTACTCAACTCCCTCATTTTTTGAATTAACTTTTGATACTTATCCTGTTCTAGATTACGCGCATAAAGATAAATCTCATCATAGTATAATAGTGGTTTAATTAACATATGATAAAGCAAATTAGTTTTACCACTTCCACTGTTTCCACAAATTAACATTCGAAAAGTATCCGCTGGCATAAAAGGAAATAGCTGTTTATATTTTTTATCTGGATCATCAACACTATCATAGTTTGGTATTTCCATTTATCTATTTATTATATAAAATGGATATTGAAGAATACAAAAAACTTGCAAGAAATAAAATTGAAGCTGACGCTTTAACTCAACAGGTGAGAGATATAATAAAAATAACAAAATGGCAAAAACAAGATGTTCGGGAAGGATTTAAAGAGACATTTAAACCACTTATTAAATCTCAAGATAGTATTAAAAAAAGTATTGATGAGCAGCAAAACGCAACTATAGAACAACTTAAAAAAAATCAACTTGCATTAACATCAGGATTGGAAAAAATTAATGAAACTAATTTAAGATTGGCTGAAATGAGAGAATTACCAGCTTTGGAAGGTGAATATGAAGAAGCAGCAGCAGCACCATCAACATCTAAAGCAAAATTACCTACACGTTATAACATTGAAAAAAATTTTGACAAAGTTGATTTAGAAGCATTAGAATTTCTGGGCTATCCAAGGCCAAATTATTTTTTTGGTACTGATATTGATAGACTTGAAAAAATAAATGATGAAGTAAAAAATGACGTAAAAATGTTTACAGGAGAAATAGCTGGTTTGAATAGAAAAAAAAATAAAACAAAAGAAGATAAAGAAGAAATAGAAAGGATTAAAATGCAAAAAGATTTACTATTTAAATACAGAAACATTCTTAAACTTTATTTAGGTTCACTTGAGTATAAAATGGGACAAGGAATGATTTACTTTAACAACCCACATCAACTTCTAGAAAGACTTGAATTACTTGGTGGTTCAATTCTTGCTGGGAATAATGGTGTGATACCTGAGTTTTCTCAAATAGCACATCTTCTCAACCAAATGAAAGTAATTACAAAAAAACAACTAAATGATTTAATAAAAACTTATATAACAATTAGATAAAAATGGAAGAACGAGCTATTCACATTTCTTCAATAAATAGGGAAAAAAGAGGAACAAGCAGGCCTGGTGATTTTACTATTAAGTTTAATCTATCTTTGAAACTTGACCCTGAAAAAAATCATAAAATTGCTCTTGATCGGTTGTCCATGACTTACTCTTGGTACAACATTAGAAGTGATTATGGAAACAATAAAATTAAATACACTCATGATGGAACCAACTGGCAAACAATTACTTTTGTAGATGGGATGTATTCCTACTCAGATATTAATGATTACATTCATCAGTATATGGTACAAAAGTCTCATCACTCAACAGATTCAAGTGGACAAAAAACTTATTCAATAAATCTAACTTTTATACTATCTACTTATCGAGTTCTCATATCAATTGATGGTGATTATCAACTTGATCTAAGAGGAACAGAATTTGGAAAACTAATTGGTTTTGAAAAGAAACTTATTACAAAAACAGAGTATGGAACAAAACTACCAAATATAACAAATTCAATAGATGTACTCAATATCAACACAACCGCAATAACTAATAGCATTGTAAATGGTATAAATACAAATACCATAGCTGTGATACCAACTGATAATCTTACAAGGTCTTTTCCATTTACTTTTGAACCTAAAAGACCACTGTATTGTGATGTCTCTTCATTTCACATTGATGAAATGAGAATCTATGTTACAGACTCACTTGGAAGACCAGTAAATTTTAATGGTATTGATTGGTATATGACTTTGATACTCCACTCGATGTAATATAACTATTAATATAAAATGATGCGACAATCAGAGTTTAAAATGAAACTTGACCCTGAATTGGGTAGATATACAAGACAACATATTTATGGAGAAGGAATGATGGATGTGTTTAAATCAGTTGGTAAAAAAATATTTGGAAAAACAATGAAAAAAGCTGCTAAAAAAAGTGGTGAAAAAGTACTAACAATGGCTGCAACAAAAACTGGTGAACATGCTGGTAAAAAGGCTGGTGATAAGATAGTTCAAATGTTATCAAAAGAGGGGGTAACACCCAAAAAACGTACTAGTACAAAAAAAGTTACTTTAAATAAAAATGTTGAAACAATTCCAAACACTCAACAAGAGATAAATCAAAGAGTGAATGCCATTCTTAGTGGGGGTTCAGCACGTAAGAGAAAATTATATAATTATTAAAATAAAATGAAGTCTTTTAGAAATCCAAAATATTTAGAAAGATATGAAGATGTTGTTTTTGACCTTGAACAGGCTTTAGCAACACCTGCAAATAATGCTAATCAAACTAAAACAGGTCATAGATTTGTTGCTGATAATACAGGAGAAGCTACTCCTTTTGATTGGTATAACGCGCGATTTTCAGTAGATTTCAAAGTTCAACTTTTAGATGGAAATGATTTTAATAATAATAACGCACAATCGGGAATAGTAAATGGTTCAAATAGTTTAATTGAAAAAATATCTATCCTAGCAAATGGGCGAGATGTTTACAGTTGCAACTATGCTAATCATATAGTAAATATTAAAAATTTGCTTGAGTATAATCCATCTTATGTTAAGAGTGTTGCAACAAATGAATTTTATTATCTTGATACATCAAGAAATGCAAATACAGTGAGGTATACAACAAGAAATGTTCAACACGTAAGAAATGCTGCTGATAATGCTGAGGAAAGAGCAAATTTAGTTAGTGGAGATAATAATAATTACAACAAAGGTTTTGCAGTAAGAAGAGCGCTAATAGGTAACTCAGCAACAATTAGTTGTGAAATTCCTCTTAACAGATATTCTTTCTTTGAATCATTAGAGGATAAACTTCTTCCAAATACAAAAATTGAATTGAATATAGAACTAGAATCGGATAACAATCTTATCTGGAGAACTGGAGGTAACGCTTGTAGAGTTGTACTAACAAGATTTCAACTATTTGTTCCAAGATTAACATTTAACTCAGAAGGACAAAAACTATACATGGAAAATTATCTTAAACCCTACAAATGGGTGTATCTTAATGAAGTAGTAGAGCGATCAAATAACTCTCAACAGCAAACAGGTCATTTTAGAATTACAAATGCAATCTCAAAACCACGTCATGTATTTGTTTTTGGAATTAACACAGCCAATATTGATTCACAAACAGCAAATCCATTCTTATACAACACTTTTAATTTACCAAATAATGCTAATATATCTCGCTGTTATCTCGAGGTTGGAAATGGAAATGAGTACCCTGATATTCACTTTAAACCAGCTACAGATCCAGCAAGAGTTTTCAGAGAAGTAATGTCATATGTTTACGCAAATAATGACTTTCAAGGTGGAACACTACTTACTAGAACAAATTTTGGGTCTTTTTTCCCGTTTGTTTACTTTGACTTGACAAAACAAAAAATGGATATAAAAGATGGAGTTACAAAATTGTCGTTTCATTACGAATTATCTGCTAATCCAAACGCTGATTATAATATCTACGCTTTAATACTTCACGAACGAGAAGCAGAAATCGAACAGCAAGGAGGAAAACTATTGCTTAGAGCTTAAACTAAATTATATATCCACCAAGTAACATTAAAAAAGTTCAAATACATAAGCAAATTAAATAAGAATCCCTTCTCAATTCTAACTGTTTCAAAGTATAAGGCATTATTTCTTTCTCAAAATTTTAGAGCGTCTGTTATGATTACACAAAATTTTATGGCGTCTGTTATGTTTACACAGAAATTTACACAAGCGTTTAAAATGATGTGTAAACATTTGATTGGATAAAAAAATCATACGATATTTATATTACAGCAGGTACATAAAACCACCAAAACAAAATAATATAAATATTATAATAAAAATGACAACTTATATTGAATACGGAGTAAAACTTACAGATGGACAAAAGTCAAAATTGGCTTCTGCAATATTAAATAAATCACCACTAACTCTTCGATTAAAACATGGACATCTTCAAGGTTCTGATGAGTTAATGTTAACCCAGAGACAAATTTCTAAAATAAAAAAATCTATTGCAAATGGTACAGGATCAGATATAAAAATAAGTAAAACTCAGATTAGACGTTCTGTAAAACATGGTGGAAACTTATTTTCATCACTAGCATCTCTTGGAGCAAAAGTATTACCTTACGCAATAAAAGGAATTTCAAAAGCTGCTCCTGCATTGGCTACTGGTGCTGCTACTGCACTTGGAGAAATTGGATTAAATAAAATATTTGGAAAAGGAATTACAATTCCAAAAAAGTTTTTCCCAATGTTACCCTTAATTAGAGGAGAATTAACAAAATCACAAATAGATCTAATAAATAAAATGTTTCAATCTGGTGGACGAGTAGTTATTAAACCAACTCGTAAACAGGTAGAAGGAGGATTTTTAGGTACTCTTGCTTCTATTGGAATTCCAATGGCAATAAGTTTAGTATCAAAAATGATTGGTGGGGGACTACAAGTTGATAGACGTGGAACATCTAATTCAGCAAATGTTTACGTTCCACCTCCTCCTCCTCCCCCATCAACATATGGTGAGGGTTATCCTTATCACTTTCCACCACCCTTTATTGGTACTTGGAAAAACCCAATTGGAATGGGAGTTAAAAAAAAAAAAGCCCAAATCCAAGGGTTCAGGACTAATACTAGGAAAAAACAGCCCATTCAACTCAATTCCCATTCTAGGTACCATTTTGTAATTAAACCTTTATCCAACTTTGACCTTATGGAATGGATAAAAAGACTTGGTATTAAAAATTTTAGAGGAATATATAGTCGTGATGGACTACCAAAAAAGATTAGAAAAGAATGTGGAATAATTAATCTAGATGATATTACAGGACCTGGAACACATTGGGTTTGTTATAGAAATATAGACAATTTAGTTGAGTATTTCGATCCATTTGGATTAATAATGCCAAATGAAGCATTAAAATATTTTAATACTTCTGGAAAACAAATAGTCTACTCAATGGATGAAATGCAAAATCGAAATACTGTACTTTGCGGATATTGGTGTTTATACTATTTGTTAGAGAGACAGATGGGTAATAGTATTCTAGATGTAATACATAACCCTCATTTTGATGATGACAATAGTGATTTTATAAAAGCCTACTTTGGAGGATAAAAGAATATTTTACAGGATAAATATAATATTTAATAAATATTATATTTAATATTCTTCTTTTAATTCATCAATTGAACATGTTAAATATCTTAATTTTTCATATTTTCTTCTAAGTTTTTCAAATTCTTTATCTTTCATTATTATTGAAACATTTTTAAAAAAAGTAGATTCTTCCATTTTTAAATCTTCAGAACATTTAAAATAATTATATTTTTCAAAAAGTTTTTTTCTAAGTTCATCCTTTTTACAAATTAACGATTTATTTATATTAAATAAATTATCTAAACTTTGTTCCATTTTATTATATTTACTTTTTATCTTTAAATCATTTTTATTCACTATCCACTGGATTATTCTTTAGCTTTTTAACCTTTTCAACTTTAATATTTAAATCGCGAACACTATCAACAATTTCAATAAAGTTTAAGTAAATGTCAATAAGACGATAAAGTTTATTTTTTTATCACTATTTAATTTTAACCATGAATATTCCTCATTTCTAATTTTTTTCCACATCTCACATTCACTAACCATTAACACTCTGGAAAGATTATCATTTTTCTTTCTAAGTGACTCCATCTCATTATATATTTTTGTTCGCACTTCTTTTTCAAAATCCTTGATTGTTTTAACATCCATATTTTTTTCAATCTCAGAAAAGAATTTAGTTTCCATTTATTATATAAACAGATAATTACCTTTTACAACTTTGTTAAGTGTATTTGATTTTTCACTTATTTCCATAAGCAACTCAAATACTTTTATAAATCTAGTGTCATTTTCCAATCTAGAAAAATCAGCATATTCATAACTCATGTTTAAGTTATCGTATATCTTTTGAAGTTCACTTTTAAGAAAATTAGATCTAGTAGACATATTTTATCTAAACATTATATTGAATGAAAGAATCATATTGTATTGTAGATAAAAGAGTAACTCCTTGTACAGAACCAAGTGGTTACCAACAAGATAAAAGAGGAAGAACTCAATTCTTTTGTAGATGTGCAGTTGGTGGAAACAAAAAAGTTAGATATGTTAAAACTGGATCTGCTTCTCAAACTGGAAGTGGTAAAAAGTCCAAATCAAAAAGAAAGTCAAAAAACTAATCAGCCCGTCTGAAGGGGCGGGCGTATTTGATACTGTTGTTGGTACAGCAGTTGATGGATTTGTACATTTTGGTTTACCTTGGATGGGTAAAAAAGCAGTTGAAATGGGTAAATATGGAGCAAGTGAGTTAATGAGAAATAAAAACGTTAAAAAAAAAGCTGTAAATTATGGGATAAATAAACTAACTCCATTTATTCAAGATTCTGTTGGAACAGCAATGGATCAACTGTCAACAAAAGTTAGACCAAATAAAAAGTATAAAACTGATATACCAGAATTAGATGGGAAAGGAATTGATATACATAAAGTAATTGGAAAACTTCCAAAACCAAAAGCAGGATGGACACCAGGTTCATACAAATATATGGGTCCATACAATCCTCTTGATAAACAATTAAGCTATGATCCTGAAACTGGAAAAGTAATAGAATGGAAAGTTAAACCTTATAACAAAGTTGATGAAATAGCAGCTTATCACGACATTTGTTATGACATGGGAAAAAACAAAGGTGATTGTGATAAAGAGATGGTAAAATCATTAGATAATATTCCATATGGTGAAATGCCAAAGTGGGGTTCAACTGCTAGATTTTTAATTAATACTAAACAAAAACTTGGTCTTGGTTTAAAAGTGAAACGGCGTTGAGTAGTGATTGGTCTCAACAATTAGCCGACGAACTTCACAAACCAATCACAAGAAACTTTAAAAAGAGATCAGTAGTCTCAAATGAAATTGATGATATCTGGGCTGCTGATTTGGTTGAAATGCAAAAGTTTAGTAAGTGGAATAAAGGAATTAAATATCTTCTGATGGTTATTGATGTATTTAGCAAGTATGGATGGATTAGAGGTTTGAAAGATAAAAAAACCGAAACTGTAAGTAAAGCATTCGATGATATATTCAAAAGTAAACGTAAACCTCAAATGTTATGGACTGATAAAGGTTCTGAATTTATAAGCAAACATTTTAAAGATTTTCTTAAAAGAGAGGGAATCAAGTTGTATCACACTGAAAATGAAGAGAAATCAAGTGTTGTTGAGCGATGGAATAAAACAATGAAAAATAGAATGTGGAAAATGTTTACTGTAAATAACAACACTGTTTACTGGCATAATTTAGATAAACTAGTTGATGATTACAATAACGCTAGACATTCTAGTATAAAAATGACTCCTGTTGAAGCAAGTAAAAAGAAAAATGAGCGTAAAGTTTGGTCTAATTTGTATGGTGATTTAATCTACTTGAAACCTCATAAGCCAAAGTTTGCAATTGGTGATCATGTTAGAATTTCAAAATATAAAAGGAGAGTATTTGATAAAGGTTACACACCAAACTGGACAGAGGAAATATTTGTAATTGATAAAGTTTTACCTACAAAACCTATTACTTATAACATTGTTGATCTGATGGGAGAAGAAATTAAGGGTTCTTTCTACAACCAAGAATTACAAAAAGCAAAACAACAAACATTTAGAATAGAAAAGATTATCAGACGAGATAATAAGAAAAAAATGGCATTAGTAAAATGGAGTGGTTATCCTGATAAATTTAACTCATGGGTAAGTTTGAAAGATATGGATGATTTTTAATACAAATTTTGTATTAAAAAATAAAATCCTATTATTACTCTTCATCATTATTTTTTAAAAGTAATTCTTCAAGACCATCTTTTGTATAATCACCCTCACTCTCTTCCTCACTATTTTCCTCTTCAATTGCTAGTAAAGACTCTCTAGGTTTGAGTGGTTTAACATAGCACTCATATACTTTTATTTGTAAAGATGTTACAGTTTTACTTATGAATATTCCTTCAATTATGAGAGCCAATTTAACATTACAATACTGATTGATATATTTAAAAGGATTTAAATCCCTCCCCCCTTTTCCCTTAAACAAAGATAAAATTTTCTTTGATTTTTCTGAGTAAATAAGTTTTGCGTAAAGAACTGGAGCTGATGATTCATCAACTTTTGTTCTCTTTTTTCCTTTCTTATCTGTGTATTCTATTTGTTTATAGTAAAATGGCGAAGATAGAGTTGATGCTAAATCTCGTCCATATTCATTCTCTAAATGTTGCTGAGATAGATTTTTTACATTATTGATAACATCAAAAAATGCTTTTTCTTTATTACTAGGTTCACTATCTCTAGACCAAAGACATACTGGAATACTATAACCAACCAATTTACCTGTGTCTTGATTTTTCTTTTCACTTACACCAAAACTAAAAAGAACTGGAGATTCAACTACAATTGGTCCTTTTTTGTTATTTGGATATTTGACTTCAATTGGAATACGTTTGTATTTAATCTT